ATTTATTTATATAATTACATAATTTAAATATTAATCATTGCACTTTAAATCTTAGTTATTTTCTTCTAATAAGTTTTTTATTTATAAATTTGAATTACTTAATTGCATTCTACTTAATGAGAAGGAGAATTTCATCTTTTACTAATTAATTATAAATATTTTATCTTCTTGAAATGTATAACTATTAATTTAATTTCAACATTTTTATGAGAAAAACAAGACATTTTAAGAGAAAGTTCATCATAAGATAGTGTGTCTACATATTTGTTTTTGCTACTTTATTTTGTCTTTTAAAACAAATATAAAGTTTCTATATCAAAATTATAATAAAGGGAGGACTAAATACAAAAAAAAAAAAGAATCTTCAAGTCAACTATACACTACAAACATTTTTTAAAAGTTAAATCGTTTATCATTTTATTTATCGGTATAAAATAAACATGCAACGCACTAGCCCATATACTAGTATTTAAAAAAGCACCAACATTTCATTAAGCATACTTAGGCATCATTTGTTTCCATAAAATTAAGAGGTCTAAATCAGAAACAAAACACTCAAATTTTAATTCAAATCTTAATATTCAGATGTATACTCAAATTCATATCTTTTAATGTTAAAAGAAACAAATGAGACTCATTAAGAATTTTTTTTAAAAAAAATAAAACAAATAAATTTAATAGGTTAAATCTAAATAATTCAGATTTAAATCTAAAAATCAAACATTTTTAATAAATTGAATCTGATTTATTAAGATTTCGACCTCCACTAACAAATGAGGCCTACATTATAATTGAACGTTCCACATGACTATCGGACATTATTTGTCTACATAAAATTGACAAGTTGGTACACCTGAAGTTTCCATAAACTATTGGTACAACTAACAAAATTAATGTCACTTATAATTTTCCCCTAACTCATTTTGGGTTGACTTGTTATTTTCTTTGTTTCTACTATTATAATATTGTTCTTTTTATAATTTTTTTCTCTTTATTTTTAATAGGACTCCTTTATTACGTATTATATTTTTTTTCATACTTAATTATATATATGCTAAGTTCTATCAAAAATTAAATATTAATATAGGTAATTTTTATAAAATCATACTGAATATATTACGGAATCTCGTTGAATTGGGTAGCGTAACTGATCACCGACCACTGCTTAAAATATCGACTAGGTCGGTTTGGAACATTATTAAAACTAACCTTGTATAGGGATCTAAAAAGAAAGTGTCATGCATGCATGTGGCAGGTACTTTATCTTTTCCTTTTTTTAAAAAAATAAATATAAATCTTGAAACTCCCTTTCACTTTATAAATATAAGCCAAATTAAATGATGAATACACAGATATTATACTCTTAATTAGCCTTTGATTATATATTTGATTTCTTCATTAGTTCAGCCATGGAAAAAGTACTCTTAATTCCATCTAATTTATCTTTCTCCAATCCCAAGAAATTGCTTATTCCCCTTAGAAGATCAAAAGGTAAAATCTTTGCTCATCTTAATGATTCTTGTGATTGGGATTATAGAGGGAGATTAGTGGATGAAAGTATGATTATATTAAGGAAGAGAGTTCATGAGATGAAGGTAATTGAAAGAAATTATGAGCCACCAGAAGAATGGATGGAATGGGAGAAGCAGTATTATGCTAATTATGATGAGTTAATTTGTAATTTAGTAGGGTGTTTACAAATGAAATTGTTAAGTACAAGGCCTACTTTGGCTTTAGGGATGTTAATCCTTCTAATCATCAGTGTTCCAGCTTCAACGGCTATGATTTTCTCTCATTTCATCCATTGGACAAGTGGCGTCTTATCAACCGTGAATCTTGGTTGATGTGTTTTTGCTATCAGCTAACTAAGATTTACTAATATTCAGTGTAGATTTGGTAATTGTATTTTGTATTTGCAAAATGAATCCCATGTATATATATTATTTAACAGAAGCGATGCGAATTAAAAGTTTAGGGTTCTAAATTTCGTGAATAATTGTTAATTAATTTTGTTAGGGTTCACAAATTAATATACATAAATATTTTATTATTTTTCTAGTACAAATTAGAATCTAAAAAAAAATTCTTTCGATGAACCCCATCTAGCTTCCCCCCTCTCTATATATATATATAATGCAGACTAACTAAAATTTGTCCCTTTTACTTATTTCAACAAATTAAGCCAACACTTAATTACTTCAATGATATATTCTGTGTATGCGTAATTAGGTATGTGTAGAGATAAATATATAATTAAAAGTCGTAAAACTTAGAATTTATACGGGTTATAAATTTTGGAATAGTAAATTGAGTTTTAATTTATTTTTTCTATTTATATAAATAATTTTTTTAATATAAAAATAGAGTTTGAGCTAAAATCGAATTTCAATTTGTTAATTTTCTAACTATGCCGCCCACTAGTGGAGGGGATGGGGAATTTGCGATAGAGTATTAATTCTCGTGAAAAGTATTTTCTCAATGTCTTTAATTAGTTCATGAATCTTAACTATATATGCTAATTCCATCAAATCGAAAAACTTTTTACTATTTTTGTACTATGGTTCGTTGAAAGAAAAATAAAAAAATATTAATTTGTTCATAAGTCATGTAACATAAATACTTGATTACATATTCGTACTAGTGAAGATCTATTTATATTGCGGCTACCCGCTTCCCTCTTCTATCGATAGAGTCGCAATCAACCTGTATTATTGTTTATCACGAAATTTGACTGTTAAATTAATATAAAATATTATTATTTATTTTTCCTTTAATTATTTATTATATTTTTATAAACATCAAAATATGATGGTATTTTTTTTTTAACATGATCGTGAATAAAATTCATGCTATTAGTTTTTCAATTAAAATGGAAATATTGGTTTCTATGTATTAAAAATTAATAAAATGGGGGAAAATAACTTAACTTTTGAAAATTAAATTATGTTCAACAAAACGAATTCTACCAAATTAGTTAGAGAAAATAAGCAATTTATTCATCATTGTAAGTAGAGTTGTCAAAATGAGCTTGATTCGCTAGGTCGATTTAATTAAATCTTTGGATTAAATGAGATTGGGTTCAATTTTTTCTGTCCATTATGGAACGAGACTTTTCAGTCTAGCCTCATTTGGGCGGTTGACCTCGTAAGTTCAACCCTCAAGCCTTAGAGGCTAACCAGTGGGCTATGAATTTTCAAAAATATTTATTATATATTTTAAGTAGTGGTTTACTTGTCAAAATTTTATCAAAATATTGATATATAAAATCAACACTATTTTTTACATATATTTTATATTTTAGGTTCATTAGCCTGCTAAAAAAAAATTTATTTGCCCAAGTTCATTACTCCATTATAACTATGAAACTTTGGTCTCTTTTACTTTTATTTTTATGCCTAATTTTTCACATTCTGTTTTATCGCCTTGTTTATGAAAATAGTGATTATGTAATTTTTTTGCTTGGATGAATCTTATGAATGTTGTATCTTGACTATTATGTATTTGTTTGGTAAATATCTATTGAAGTATGTGTAATTCATGAATGAGTTTATGTATGTACTGATGTCGTGTTCATCGAACATCAACGTTCGTATTCTTTCTACAAGAAAAATATTGTCCATTTTTGGTTGAAAGGTCAATCCGTCCCAACCTATGGTTTGCTTAGGATTGAATTGAGTTAATATTTTATAGACACTTTAATTAAAAGGGTCAGACCGCTCCAACCCATTTAACTTCATAGCCCGTTCGAATTGGATTGGACCAACCTATTTTGACAGCTCTAATTGTATGCATAAAAAGGGGCAAAGAATTTAAATCACATACTTTTAGGCAAAATTATCATTTGTCTTATATAAGATACAATAATATAAGTGCTGACACATTAATCTGATGTGCGAAATACATTAATCGTTAAGTAGGATACATTACATTTTATATATGATACACTAATCTGATTTGTATTTTATACATGATACACTAATATGATGCACGAGTTACATTAATATGATGCGCGAGTTACATTATTTGATGCATTGATATATTAATCTGATGCGTGAAAATGAGTGATTTTGAAATTTGTAAAACTAATAGGGGATAATGATTAAAAAAAAAATTAAAAATGAGATTTCAGTCTTTTTTAAAAAAAATTTGCATTTTTAATATGTAAATATCTAAAATCTAGAAGCAGAAACTTCTTCTAGTAAATGTTTACTATGGAGCTAGGTAATGACTTTAAGAATAGGAAAGTTTTGTTTAATTATTTCTTTAACCCAATAAAACACTAACTTTGATAATACTTTTGACGAAATTAGAATGTTGTATCTGGCCCCAATTATTTTTTTTTCAAGGTAAACCCACTAATGCCATATTCAGCACGTTACTATATTCAGCCGTTGTAAGATTTGGGCTTAAATTATCAAAGGTCTAATGACAGAATTCTTTCATCAACTTGACCTTGCATGTACAACCAATTAAATCATTATTCCTTAACAATCAAAAAAGTATTACATAATCTTCATTTAATTTAATTTTTTCCTTTGTTTTAATTTATTTTTCCTACTTTACTTCTTAGTCTGTTAAAGAATGACAAAAGTGATGAGTGAACTCCTTATAATACTTGAATAATTTTTCTTTTCTTGAGCTAACTTTTGGGGTGTGAGTTAGCTTTAAGACCTAACTTCACGTTTTCTGATTAAGAAAACATGTCTTGTTCTTGCTTTCATTCCAACTTTCCATGTGACTTAGAACACAGATTTTGGGCAAATCAAATTGAATTAATTGTGAATCAAGTTACTGTGCTGTACAGTGCCCGTCCCTTTCTTTTACGGCTACGCGTATAGTCCCACACGTTGGGCCGACTCTATTACGGACCCTTCACTTGTAAGACAAAGTAATTTCCATGCGTAAACACAACAACTTCCCCTCACCCATTATAAATAGGCTTTTCACAAATCCATAATACTCTCATCATAACAACTACGCCTCAATCTAAAAAAAAAAAAATGACTTCATTGTTGATCTCTCCTCCTTCGGTAATCCTGAAGCGAGGTGTGATTAATGCGAGATTTGATCAATATAATGGTGGTGGAAGAAGTAAGAATATGGTGGATGAGAATATGATTGTTTTGAGAATGCGTATTAAAGATATGAAAATATTAGAAACTGAAAAATCAGGACCACCTTCAAATTGGATGGGATGGGAGAAGAAGTACTTTGCACATTACAACGAAGACATTTGTGAAGCTATTGGATTGTTACAGATGTACTTGATGGAAACTAGGCCAGCTTTGGCTATGGGGATGTTAGGGCTGATTTGTTTGAGTCTCTCCCTTTCAACTTACTCCATGGTTCAGCAACTCATGGAAATAGCCAAGTTTATTCTTCAACCTAATTAACTTAATTAGAGACGAATTCAGAATTTTTTAATCTCTGTAATTTTACTATAGGTATGTATTTTGGATTATTTTCGAATATAGATAAATTATTAGCGTTGCAAACTTGCATTTCATATTGATCAAGCTTACGCATTTAATGTTTTTACTTGATGAGCTAAAATAGTCAAACTTTGGAAGGAACAAGCTAAAGAAATTTAACACTTTGTTTGGATCATTATTTCATAATGTATTGTACCCACTATTGTACTGTATGGTATAGAAGATACAATGTTTGATTAGATTGTATTGTTTGTTGTTGTTTAATAATATTTTAATTGTTTGATTTGATTATATATTGTAATTTATAAATTTACTTAAATATCTTTAATTATTCTAGGTAGGAGGGTTGACTAGGTTTAAATAATTAAGGTAAAGGGAAAAATAGTATTTTGAAATATTATGTAAAGATATAATTGGAAAAAGAAATTAAGTAACAATGTGAAACACACCAAATTGGTTGTTCCATAAAACAGGGATTTTTCCATTGTTAATAACAACGAAATTTAACAATACAGTATAATACAATTTAAGTAGAAATCAAAACAAATATTATAGATACAACAACGATATAATACAATACAATGAATAATAATGATCCAAACGTAGTGTAAAGGTATAACGTCATTTTCATGTAATGTTTCTACTCTCCCAGCTTTTTAAGAAAAGAAAGAATTTAAAGATATTAATTAAAGAATAATTTGCACACATTTACTTTTTTTAACGTCATTTTCATGCAATGTTTCTACTCTCCCAGCCTTTTACAAAAAGAAAGAATTTAAAAAAATTAATTAAAGAATAATTTGCCAACATTTACTCTTTTTTTTAATTCTTTCTAAATTCTTTTTAAAAGTAGAGATAATTATTATTTAAAAGTAGTTTAAAATCCCATAAATATAAAGATAGTTATAAAAATAATAATCAAATAATACACTGTAAAAATGTTTTTTTTTAAAAAAAATCATTCATTTTGATTCATAAAACAATTCATTTGTATTTGACCAAAAAGAGGTACTACTATATAATTGTCTAAGAAAGAGGGAGTACTAATTCCATTGCCAAATTAAAGACTTGTCTATAGTGAGATGCCAGGACAAAAAAAGGTTAGTTATTTCCATTGTTTGTATCACTTTCTTTTTTACGCGTTAGATTCATAAGGTATCGAGGGGGAATTAATTTTGAATTATCCATGTGGATAATTGCCTTCCAAAATCAAATGGATAATTCTTTTTAGTTAATATTTTTTAAAACTTTACAAATTTGTTTGGGAAAATGCATAAGTATTCACTGCAACAAAAATGACCAATAGCGGCATTTAATTCTTGATTGCCGCTAAATATATATTTTCAGCGGTAATTATCACTCTTTGTATATGTCCCTAAAGTCTTTAGCGACATTGGTTCTAATGACACTTAACTAATTTCGGTAAAGACTTTAGCACTCTTCATTAGTGTTAATATTTAATGCCGCAAAAAGTTGTTTTTGTTGTAGTGATCCCCCAACTTATGTTCGATATTACGAAGAGACACTTATACTATACTAAAGTCATATCATCTCCCTAAACTTATTTTATTAATTATTTTTTAATCTCTTTTTGGTGTATGTGGCACTGTTATTGAAAAAATTGTCAACACGTGTTGGGTCCAGAAGATAATGCCACGTAGTTCGAAAAGGAGTAGAAAATTATTTATAAAATAAGTTCAGACAGTGGCGGAGTATATAATTGGACCTTAGTATAGTATAAGTATGTCTCTGAAATTTCGAACATATATTAAGGATACTTATACATTTTTTCAACTTGTTTACGTTATTACAGAACTAATTTTAAGTAAAATAAAAAATTAAATTAATTCTATCTATATTTTTATAAATGAATGAATAATTTTAGACAAACATTTACAACAACGTGAGCAACTAATTGTTGAAGAATTAATATACAACAATGATTATGGATGACAATGAGGCGAGGTGGGAACAGACGGATGTATGGCGGGTTGGAGTGGGTATTAAAAATTAATGATTGGTGATGCAGATTGCGGATATATGTGATTTTACGTTGGGTTTAAATTTTATTTTAACTTTTTACATGGGGCGGATCTATGTGAGGAGATGGAAATGGAAAAAATTGTTATGCAGAGCAATTAAAAATTGTTTATTTTCATAAGCACTTTTTCAAATAGTTTTTCAAAAAAGTGCTTTTGAAAAAATAATTTTTATTTGGTTAATTTATTTGAAAGTCGTTTTTCATAAATAAATTGTGTTCAGCTAATCTTTTCTAAAAAGTGTTTTGAAAGTCAAATTACGATTAACTATAAATATTAATGTACTTTTAATATTAAGATTATTTTATAAAGAGAAACTAGTTTAAATATTTGTTAAAAAAAAATAATTAATCTTTTATTTTTAATTTTTTATAATGTTCAATCAATATTATACATTTTTTTTTGAAGGGTTGAAATTTTTAATTGCTATTTTTTTTCCTTTTTTCTTAACTTACAAAATATCGTTGTTACTTTTTTTTTCTTAATTCTGCAAAATAATAATTTATAAAGGTAAAATAAAAATAAATTATTAAATGAAACTTAATCAAATATCAGATATGTTAATTAATTTTATAAGACATACACACTAGTTGAGTAAAGCCCATGCTAAAGCATGGGCCTAACATTAAGATGAGTCAACTTTTATATTAATATTAGTATCCAACTTAAGTAGCTTTGAAGTACCTTTAAGAAGTTTAAACAGGGGACTGATAAAATTGAATATTGAAGATCGAACATGGGTTGTGGTGCATTGGTGAGAGTGCTTCATTCTTAACCAGATGTGTCGGGTTCGAGTCCTGGGTATGAAGAAAATTCTGTTGGAAGCGCCACCCCCAAATGGATCCTATAATGCGCGATCCGAATTTAGTCTGAGCTCTAATATGGGTTCTGAATACCAAATAGAAACCAAAAAAGAATATTGAGAGCTATAAAGCAAATGGTACAATTGTAATACCTATAATGCAAGTAAATTAAAATGTCATTGTTTGAGGCACTCCTACGATTTTTATAAAAACACTATAAGAAAATTGTGAATTATATAGAGATTTTTTGGGGGATTATTATGAAAATTCGCAGAAAACTTATTCTCCTGCAATTTTTCATACAAATTTCCATAAAAATCCCCATATGATTTTTTATAGTGTCAAGTTATTTTATAGATTTCTTTTTATATTTGACAATGAAGAAATCAATCATTAGTTGTTATATGGACACCAAGTAAATAATTTGAAACAACTTCAAACTTTTTTATGATTTAAATAAATTTTGAACAATTAAGTGATGGACTAAAACTTCGAACTTCATTACAAGTAACTTTTTAACATTATAAGGTATATAATAAACTTATGAACTAACCATTCTTTAGGATGCTATGACACTAAACTTTTGATTAGACTTTTATTTAATAGTTGGAGGAGGTTAAAGAAAAATTATTGCTAGTCAAATTTAATACACCAACTCTTACTAACATATCATATTAAAAGAAAATACGAGCATAATACCTCTATTGCAATGAAATCTAAGTATAAATCAAAGTTGCTTACCATTAATATTATACACATTCATCCCAATTTCCAACACTCAACAATAACTATAAGAATAAAAACATGCTCAATTTTTTCCCCAAACTTAAGCAAGTCACACTAATCAAGTCTTAGCTCAACCTACTTCTAAACTGCAGTTATTATATTCAATTAGGGATCGTTTAGTAACTGGATAAGGGCATGAATAACCAAGTTATTCATGTATTAATTTTATACCATGTTTCACAATATTAAGGAGTCTTTTTTTATTTATTTAAAAAAGAGGGGACTGGCCTTAGTCAAAAAATTTTTGGTCTATCCTTGATGGGAGATTTTTCTATGAAAAAAATGAATCAAATTTGAAGAATGGGGAGGGAAAAGAAGCCCTTCACCGCAGGAGGATTTATTCAATCACATAAGTTTCGTTATTACCGCCCCTTCCCTCCAACCAAAGCCCAAACCCCGAGGGCGGGTTGCATTTTATAGTGGATACAAGCTTTATAACTTCTTATTACGTATATTAATTTAAAATAAATTAAATATCAATAAGTAATAATATTTGTATTATAATTTCTACATAACTAAATTCTATCTAAATAATACGTACACAATTAATATTTATATAACTAATATCTACATAATCAATACATATATAACTAACATCTACATGACTGATGTATGATTAAATAATATGTATACAATTAATATTTATATAACTAATATCCGTATAACTCTAACTAATAATCAAACGACCACTTATGTTTTTGGAGGTTAGCCCATAAGATATGCCAGACTTACATCCAAATGGTCTCTTTAGATTATAAAAATGTGGGCTTCATTGTGAAGGATTCTATCTCAAAAATAGATTTGGATATTTGCTTGAAGAAACCCAATACATCAAATATTAGTAGTTATTTTGGTCAAAATATATATTCAATCAACTTGTACAACTCAAAACCATCTTTTCGTTTATTTGTGTACACATTTTCTTCCAAAAAAAAATAATATTACTACTATTAGTAAATAACTACATAGAGCACAGCTAGTAATAAAATTTAAAATTTCAAATAACTACGTACATAAAATACTAGTAGTATTGAAATTTAAATTTTATAAAATTTAATTAATATGAATAATTTACTAAGTAATGTCTGAAAAATGCCAAGTCAATATAACTTTTTTTTAAAAAAAAATAATTATCGCATCTAAATCAATAAAAAATAAGAAAAATAATGAAAAGAATACACAATTACACAATAATTTCTTTTTGACATTGGTTCAATTATATGTAAACCTTATTTAATTTTAATTTTTCAGTCATATCGCGCTCGATCAATTGATTGTTAATACTAATTTTACACATGTTTTGCCTTTTCGGAGTTAAAAGAATGCCTTCAAT